GCGTACATGCGATAATTTTCGATTCTGTAAGGTTTTCGAAAAAAAAAATTGTGCTAATATTGTGATACTTTCTTACCTCCTGGAGGTTTCGGTGCAGTATAACTCTTCAATGGTATTTTGCTAGGTTTCCGTTTCCGTTCTTTTTCCGCATGGTCGTGGGCAGATTCGGTGCTACTGGAATGCTGATCCATCAGAGGCAAGGGGCTCATCGCTTTCATGCTAGCAGTGGTAATTTCAGACCTGGAAGTAATGTTTCAATCAAGCCATCTCCTTAGACCGCATCTATAAACTTTTCAATCAGTATTCACTGTGGTCCGTACCTTCAGTATGTACTGCTCATTTCGTCCATGTCAGAGGCGCGGCAGATTAATATGAGGAGGGATAACAACTTGAGATAAAAGAAAAATGTCTACTTAAAGGCAAAGTTAATCCTACCCACGCCACTGTTCCTCTGTTGTTTCAAGCTGCTTGATGCCCTATCTAGCGGTGTTCAAGTGAAACTAACTGGATTGCATCAGCACCGTACCACCGTGCGAGGACGGTAACCTGTATGCGATTTTTAGGATACGCGCAACAGCGAGTATGTTTAGTAAACAACAACTTGAGAGGAAGTAAAAATGAGCGCCAACGAGACTCGAACCCGCATCTCCTATATTCCGTACAGCTGAATACAAACTTTCAGGATCGACTATTAGAGGCAAATTCAATCCTACTCCGGCCACTGTTCTTCTGTTATTTCAAGTTATGCCCCATCTGCAAGTACCAAATCAATCCGGTTTGTTTTACTTGAATGCCCAAGTATTCATTTTTCACGTAAAGTGACGCAAGGTTGGTTGTCTGATTTGTTGATTGAGTAAAACTTACGGGAAATAGGGCATGGAGTATGGAGGGAAAGTAATGATTCTCACCTTGATAAAATTGGATGGTCACTAGTAGAAGACTCCGTAACTGGAATGATATCGGGGGACGCGGTAGTTTTGGTCGAAGTTTGATGTAATTCTTCTAAAAGTCGTAACCTCGCTCTCGTACCTTCCAATTCTATATTTTTATCTTCTAACTGGAATGAGAATTTGATTGTCAATACATTGAGAATGCTTTAAAGTTTTACGACATGCAGTTTTTTATGATTTTGGAACTTACCTGGAATTTCAAGTCCTCATTCTCTTCCCTATATTTATTTAACTTATCCCTAAGACTGAGTTCCAAGTTCACAGCTGAATCAAGTTTCTCTTGTAGAACCTGTAACAAACGAAATATTTTTAGCATTCGTGCTCATATTACAACCATTTATTTGTGATCAACTATCACAAAGTTATTTCTAGAATTCTGGGACTGTGATTAATAGTATAAAAGTTTAATGGGGTGCGATATATTGCATATTATAAGTCTGAATATATAATTTTATGGAACAACATCGAAGATAAAATTTGTTTTTCTAACATCTGCGGGATCAACAGCAACATTGATGCTGTTCATCACTACCTGCAATCCAATCGTCCCGCCGTGCTTTTCTTGGCGGAAACAAAAATCTCAGAGGCTGCACCGATTAACCATCTCAACTTCCCAAACTACGAGGTGCACTCCAATCTGAGAAAGAACGGGGGAGTTGTGGCTTTTGTCCGCAGCAGTCTTTCCTGCTCCAGGGATCTTTCTTTGGAATCAGACCGGAAGGACATTCTGTGGCTTCGCCTCAACTCCAAAACATCACCCAAATTTATTTGCTGCCTTTATCGCTCTCCCTCGAACCATAACTGGGATGACCTACTCGAATACCTCGCCGTCCAGATCGACTTCCTGAACATCAATCACCCCGCTTCAGAGGTAGTTCTTCTCGGTGATTTCAATGCCCATAATGAGCTTTGGTTGGGCTCAAATAAGACCGATGCAGCAGGTCGTGCAGTCGAAGCGTTCGCTCTTACTCAAGGGCTGACCCAGCTGGTGACGAGCCCTACTTTTTTCCCCCGCGTCTCGTCACACGCCAGTAGCCTGCTGGATCTCTTTCTGACCACGCATCCTGCCCCTTACAGCACTGCTGTCCTGTCCCCCCTGGGTAACTCAGATCACGGTGTTGTGGAGGTTAGGTTTCGGTCAGAAGCCGCTGTGGCCGCAGAAACTCGCACAGGCCGCAAAACTTGGCATTACGGACATGCCGACTGGGAGGGGCTCAGAGACTTCTTCTCTAGCTTTCCTTGGAGAGATGTCTGTTTCACTGACGCGGATGCGTCGACTGTCTGTTCTTCAATAACCGAAATTATCCACGTCGGAATGGAGGAATACATCCCTCACACAGTGAAAGCTCCTAAACCAGGGTCCAACGGCTGGTTCAACAAATCGTGTGACACTGCTCGCCAGCAGAAGATCAAGGCCCACAGAACCTACTTACAAAACCCCACTGTAGAGAACAGACAAGCCGACGTCGAGTCCAGAAACAAATATAACGAAGCAGTTCGCAATGCCAGAACCCAGCATGATATAAAAGTTAGGCACAGGGTAATGTCGCAGCGCAATGGCAGTAGGTCTTTCTGGACGCTGGCCAAGCAGATTGAAAAGAACTTCTCACACAGTAGCCTTCCACCACTTACGTGCCAGGATGGATCTATTGTATTCGACTCAAAGGCCAAGGCGGAAGTGTTAGCCAAGATCTTTGCTGCCAACTCCACCATGGACGTCCCCACCAACGCCCAAGTGCCGTCAATTCAAAGGGTTCCCCACACTATGCGGGAGGTAACATTCAGGCATAAGACCGTAAGACGAGTGCTCTTGTCGCTCGACATCAACAAAGCTTCTGGTCCGGACTTGATTCCTGCCATTGTACTGAAGAGATGTGCAGCTGAGCTTGCTCCAGTTCTTTCGCGTCTCTTCCAGATATCTTATGAATCCGGCACCTTCCCAGAAAACTGGAAATTTGCTCATGTACAGCCCATCCCAAAAAGAGGATCTAAAACCGACCCTTACAACTACAGGCCTATAGCTCTGCTTTCTGTTATAAGTAAAGTAATGGAGAGGTGTATAAATCGCGAGCTTCTGGACTACCTCGAACGTCACAGCTTGATTAGCGACAGGCAGTACGGTTTCCGGCACCAACCATCCACAGGGGACCTCCTAGCTTACGTCACGCAACTGTGGAGTAAACTCATCCAGTCGCATGGTGAGGCTCATGTCGTTGCTCTTGACATCACGAAAGCATTCGATCAGCTGTGGCACGCTGCCCTCTTGAGCAAACTTCCATCCTACGGCCTCCCAGAAAAGCTTTGCAGATGGGTGGCTGACTTTATCTCTGGCCGCAAGATATCCGTCGTAATTGACGGATTCTCCTCTTCATCCCACAACGTCAACGCGGGTGTTCCCCAGGGATCGGTCTTGGCTCCAACACTGTTTCTCTTACATATCAACGACCTCCTTTCCTGCACGATCAACCCAATCCACAGCTTCGCTGATGACAGCACTCTACATGCAGGAATTCAGAGTGACAAGCCGATCTCTGCCGCTGAGCTGGAAAAAAGAAGACTAGCGACGACTTCTTCTCTGACAAGAGACCTGGAGGCTATCACTGCTTGGGGACGCAACAATCTTGTACAGTTCAATGCTTCCAAAACACAGTACTGTACTTTGACGAACAAAAAGCGTCTTAGCGCTCATACAGTTTCGATGGACGGTCGAGTTCTACCAAAGAGCCATTCATTTCGGTTGCTCGGAGTCCAGATCACCGAGGACCTGATCTGGCACGAACACATCTCTTCAATAGCTGCAGCTGCTGGGAAAAAGCTAGGCTATTTGTTTAGGGCTAAGAAGTACTTTTCTCCGCATGACCTTCTCACTCTATACAAGGCCCAGATAAGGCCTAGCCTCGAGTATTGCTCACACATTTGGGGTGCTGCCGCCCCGACTACATTGTCCATGCTCGATGCTGTCCAGAGGAGAGCGGTCCGACTGATCGATGACTCTTCTCTAATAGACAGTCTCGGGACTCTTTCGCACCGGCGGGCCGTCGGCGATCTAGCTCTTTTCTATCGCTACACCAACGGGCTTTGCTCCTCAGAGCTCTCTTCCATGATGCCGCCGCGCGATGTGCCTGCCAGACAGACCCGCCTGACTTCGGCGTCCCATCCTAACCGTGTCAAACTTCGTACATCCAGAACTGGCCGATACGACCGCTCCTTTATCCCGAGGGTATCTAGATTGTGGAACAAACTACGGGAGGAAGCTTTTCCCAGTTCTACTAACCTTAGGCAGTTCAAAAATCGTATTAACAAAATTTCTTTGGGATCATCATAGCAGCCGCGGTGTTCCGGCATTTAAGCTTCTGCCTGCGCGGCTGTTTCGATATAAAAAAAAAAAAAAAAAAAAAAAAATGAATTTCAGGAGTACATTATTCAATATTTGCCATCTGCTCATAACATGTTTGTCTCTTGATAAATCTACATGCCATTGATTCTCTACTTAGCAATTTCTTAAAATATATGTAACATATTCGTCTTTCGTATTTTCTCCAGCTGCCTCATTTCTCTTGGAACTATAAGTTTACTGCACATTATTCTAGTAGTACAGGAAATATAACTTTATATATTTCTATTTTCAGTTAGTTTCGTCAAACTTTATCACACGTTCTTGCTCTCAATTTTAGTTATGAATGTACCGTGGGCCTTATATCAGTGTGAGTTATTTGTTTAGGTTTCCAGAAAACTGATTCGGGAATGGATACTAATATTATTTATTTAACAGCAATGGCTTTAGCAACAGCTATAAAAGTACATACTAAGTAATGTTAAACCTATTTTTTTTACGAACAATAATTCCAAATTATCAGGATCTAACACGCAAATCCGTAATGAAACTATGGCACATTTACTTGATTGTTTCCGAGTATTGCCACTTAATTAGCTTAAAAAATGGAATAACTCATTAGGAAGACAAAATGTCAAATATTAAGAATTCACATGCTTATTTATATTACTTTTACTTGAAACTATTTTTTTAATTCGCTCTTTTTTTTATTTCAGTTGAGGAGCTGGAAGCAAATAAATTACTTGTTTATTTATTGGGTCATTATAGTTCCATGAATGTTTCCGGAACGACTCATAAATGAATAAGTTACCATCATATTCTTATCAGTGAGTATTCGGAATCTTCTGCTTGGAATTACAAAATTATACTATCTCTCTAAATGCTATTAAAAGGGAAAATCTACCATCGTTATTCATTGGTCACTGATAAGTATACGTTTTGCATTTAGAAATCCGCGAATGCACCCATTTCTCTTTGTTACCAATGCAAAATATGGAAAGCGTATATACGATTCGTGCTGAATAATACAGATGCTTGGTTTTATGGGATATGGCTGTGATGTATGATTTTGATGTCCCACAGAAATGATAATACCTCAATTTTTCGCTAAAGCCAAAATAAAAAATGGTATAACTTCTCAGAAAAAGCGGTCTAAAATGTGCAACAATAAACTGATTTGGAAATATTACGAGTTTCAAATTTATTTCTTGTTAAACGCAACAGTCATAAAATTCGCGCATATCATCGAGCACACAACCACACATAACACGCTTAATACCAACGAAATGGAAATGTACTTATACAGCGGTGGTATACGATGATGTAACTATGCACTCATCATCTTTACGGACAAAAATTTCATAAGCTAAAGGTAATGGTCATGGTAATTTTTGTATGCTGCTCAAGTCTCATATAGTCATTTTTCAGATATTTTCAACTAAGAAACGTATGAAATGAAATACTTAAGAAACCATCAAAATAAACAATAGAAATTTAAAAGTTGACAAAGTGGACAATATCAAATATTTAGGAATTTTTTTAGGCATTTGAGATGGGACATTCATGCAGTCTACATTTTGAAGAAAATAAGATTTGCTACATACAAAATTAAATTCCTCACAGGCATATTGACAAAAAATTATATGCGTACTAATTATCATGTCTTAATTGAGCCTCACCTAATGTATGGTACATTGGCATGGGGTATTTGAACGAGATTTACAGAGAACTGTTTTAAAAACTATGTTCTAAAAACGAAAATTATATTCTACAAATGATTTGTATAACCAAACAAAATTATTTGATATCAAGCAACTTTATTTTTTACACACTATCAGCCATTATCACAAGTTGTCACTGAGCGCGATGAAATCACACATTGCCATGATACTCGATATAAATTACGAGCAAAAGCTGTCACTAATTCTCATAAGACCATAATGACGCGATTTTTTCTCTAACTGGCTCCAAAATTATATGATCACGTACCCAAAGACGTAAAACAATTTCGAAATACACACAATTTCAAAAAGAAATTATCAAAATGGATATACGCAATGGGAAGACAACACATTATTGAATTAATATTGAATATTCGTTAAAAATTATCATCCTGTAAATATGCAAAACTTAAATAAATTTTTCTTTTAACTTTTTTGTTTCGATTTTGAAACACATTCCAACATATAACTGATCCATGTACTGTGAATTGAAACATTTATTTACCTATTATATGTTGTTATTGTTATTATACAGGGTGTCCCAGAAGTCGACGTCAAGCCGAAACCGGGTGATAGGCAAAGTCATAACAGCTATCAGAAAAATATTTAAAAAAAATTTATGTATGTGTTTTGATAATTATAGGTCTTTGAAAAAAATATAGAAATTTCACACCCTACGGCAGTCTGTCAACTCCTGTTACTACAAATATTAACTTTTTTGGATTTTATTTTTACAATGTAATGATGAATAATGCATCTTCAAACTGGTGTCTCAACCTTACTGCCAACTTTTCTCGTTCAGGAAAAATTGCCACTTATTTCCCAACCAAGTATTCCAAAGTAAAACTTTGCTCAACTTTAACTGCCTGTACTGGAAAAAAATGTACTACGAGAGTTTGGCAAGTAACCTTAAAAGTTGGCGCATTTGATAAGGATTCCAAAATGGTATAACACTTAGAAGATTACTCGTTAACTTATGCACAATTTTTATTTGAAAAAAAACTGATGAAAATTTTTCAAAATTTCCTAATTAAACAGCGATTATGAAAACGCACAAGGACCCTTAAGGATAACTGTTTGCACAACAGTGGGCGTCAAAATGCTGCTGATGACGATTTACCTTTACAGCAAATGCTCAAACTGTTTTCCTTCAGCCGCAATACACGCTCGACATCTTCTTAAAAAAGATCGGGTTATTAAACGAGCGAATCCACGGTTATTAACAAACTCAGCTGCTTCCAATAGTCTTTGCCGTAGCTCAGCAATATTTTGAATCGGCTTGAAATACACTTTTTCTTTTACAGTTGCTCAGTAAAAAAAATCTAACGGATTCAAATCTGGTGACTGGGCTGGCCACGGTATTGTACCAGACCGCCCTATCCATTTGCCTGGAAAGTTTTGATCGAGATACTCTCTCACTGAAAGTGCATAGTGCGCTGGGCAGCCATCATGCTGAAACCACATGTCCCTGTAAATACTCAGTGGCACGTCCTCCAATAAATTTTCTAAATGATTTTGCAAAAAACCTAAATAAACCTCAGCAGTCAAAGTCTCTGGAAACTCAAACGGACCGATTATTTTACCATTTAAAATTCCTGTCCAATGGTTTATCTTGAAGCGATATTGAGATTGATATTCTCTCATCAAATGTGGGTTTGCTACGTGCCACTCGTGTAAGTTATGCAGGTTCATGTATCCATCTTTCTTAAATGTGGTCTCATCTGACCATAACATTTTTTCAAAGAACCGTGGATCTTCCCTGTGTCTTTCTAACATTGTGCGACAAAAAGCAACTCGGGGCTCATAATCCCGGGGCAGAAGAGCTTGAACACGCTGTACGTGGTATGGATGGAGCACGTTTTTTTGCAATATTCTATGGGCTGTACTTTTGGGCACACCTGTTTTTAGTTCTATTGCACGCACTGAAATACTCGGGTCTTCTTCGACAGCTCCTAGCACCACGTCGTCGTAAGAAAGGAAAGATCTTCGCTCACCGTGTGATTGGTTTGGTAGTTGGCCCTCTGAGAACAGTAAGCGGTGCACATTTGTGAACACTCGATGATCTGGATGACGAGCTGCATTCGGGTACCTCTCACAGTAAAGTCTCGCAGCAGTACTAGCGTTGCATCTGCATTCCCCATAAATGAGGTGTATGTTAGCATATTCTTGTACGGTGTACACGGACATAGCGGCACTGCACAATCACACTATCAAAGATAGTCTAAGGACAGCAAATGTTGTTTTGAAGAGCAATTAAACAGTCCAAATCGAAATCACAAGCGATCAACAGTCCAGTTCACCAATCCAAAATAAGTAACAGTACGAAATCAACAAGCACGAACATGTAAAGATGCGCAGTAAACGAAGGAGTACTGATCGGTATCAAAGTGTGCAATAGCAAGTAAGTGATGTGTTTCATCCATACCACATACAGCGTGTTCAACGTCTCCTGCCCCGGGATTATGAGCCCCGAGTTGCTTTTTGTCGCACAATGTTAGAAAGACACAGGAAAGATCCGCAGTTCTTTGAAAAAATTTTATGGTCGGATGAGACCACATTTAAGAAATATGGGTACATGAACCTGCATAACTTACACGAGTGGCACGTAGCAAACCCACATTTCATGAGAGAAGATAAATCTCAATATCGTTTCAAGATAAACCATTGGACAGGAATTTTAAATGGTAAAATAATCGGTCCGTTTGAGTTCCCAGAGACTTTGACTGCTGAAGTTTAGTTGGATTTTTTGAAAAATCATGTACAAAATTTATTGGTGGACGTGCCACTGAGTATTTACAGGGACATGTGGTTTCAGCATGATGGCTGCCCAGCGCACTATGCACTCTCAGTGAGAGAGTATCTCGATCAAAACTTTCCAGGCAGATGGATAGGGCGGTCTGGTACAATACCGTGGCCAGCCCGATCACCTGATTTGAATCCTTTAGATTTTTTTATTGGGGAACTGTAAAAGAAAAAGTGTATTTCAAGCCGATTCAAAATGTAGCTGAGCTACGGCAAAGACTATTGGAAGCAGCTGAGTTTGTTAATAACCGTGGATTCGCTCGTTTAATAATCCGATCTTTTTTAAGATGTCGAGCGTGTATTGCGGCTGAAGGAAAACAGTTTGAGCATTTGCTGTAAAGGTAAATCATCATCAGCAGCATTTTGACGCCCACTGTTGTGCAAACAGTTATCCTTAAGGGTCCTTGTGCGTTTTCATAATCGATGTTTAATTAGGAAATTTTGAAAAACTTTCATCAGTTTTTTTTTCAAATAAAAATTGTGCACAAGTTAACGAGTAATCTTCTAAGTGTTATACCATTTTGGAATCGTTATTAAATGCGCCAACTTTTAAGGTTACTTGCCAAACTCTCGTAGTACATTTTTTTCCAGTACAGCCAGTTAAAGTTGAGCAAAGTTTTACTTTGGAATACTTGGTTGGGAAATAAGTGGCAATTTTTCCTGAACGAGAAAAGTTGGCAGTAAGGTTGAGACACTAGTTTGAAGATGCATTATTCATCATTACATTGTAAAAATAAAATCCAAAAAAGTTAATATTTGTAGTAACAGGAGTTGACAGACTGCCGTAGGGTGTGAAATTTCTATGTCTTTTTCAAAGACCTATAATTATCAAAAAACATACATAAAAATTTTTTAAATATTTTTCTGATAGCTGTTATGACTTTGCCTATCACCCGGTTTCGGCTTGACGTCGACTTCTGGGACACCCTGTATAATGGAGTAAATAAATGTCTACTACTACTACTACGAAACAAACATATGCGCCAGTACTGTAAAAAGCCGAAAAAAACATTCCAAATCGGATATATTCATTAAAATGCCGTAAACCTATGCATGCCGTGTACAGGAAGTGCATAAAATGTTAACGTATTAATAATATACACTTAGCCCGTTCATGTAAAATGCAATCCTATGAATTTTCAAGTTCTCTCATCCATCCGACATATAACGATAGCATCGAGTTGCATTTAAAATGTTTTTATTACAACATTTTCGCCATACCTCCAGCTCGTTTCATAACTTGTAATGGCAACGTAACGTCATGATTCAATAATTATGTCTTCGAAACATCATGGAGAAATCTGTGATTAACAAGTAATAATAGCTACCGTCCGCA